TTACATGATAGTGGAATGAGTTCCGAATTTTGGTCAGATGCAGTAATGTATTTTGCATATTCATTTAATAGAATTTGTCATAAGGGCCAAGATAGAACCCCATTCGAATTATACACTAAGCGGAAACCATCAGTACGTCACCTTAAGGCATTTGGAACGATTTGCCTATGTGGGAATTCCAAAGGCTAAAAGAAATTCTAAGCTTGATCCAAAGGCAACGAAAGGGCCGATTGATTGGATACAGTGTACGAACAAAAGGGTACAAGATTTGGTTGGAAAATGAGCAAAAGGTAGTAGAAACCCTAAATGCTACTTTTAAAGAGTCAATTGGAATGCAGAAAAGTGGCAGTGGAGCTGCACTGGGCACCCTTCCTGATTTGGAATCTGAAGAGAGGGTAGAGTTCCAATCTACTGATACTCCAGTTGGCTATTTTCCTGAAATAGAGGAAAGAATTGATACCAGTGTACCTTCTTCTATACCTAGGCACTGACACTCAATCTACATTGAGACAAGGTAACTTGGCTTCGTAAACCTGTTCCAAGGCCAGACGGCACTCGTACGGATGTGTATTATTTTGAGAGGGGGTCTAATCAAAGACTACGATCACCAAATGATGTAGAAAGGTATTGCACTGAACATAATATTCAGTATGATCCTACCTTGTTTGATTTCAAGGGAAGCAATACTTATAGTGGTGAAATCGACCCAACTGGCACTCCTTCAACGTCATATACCCGAAGATAGCTGACTAGAGGTTTCAATTCCAAACACTTATAACCAGGCAATGAAATCCACAGAAAAGCTTAAATGGATAGAGGCAAATGGAAGAGGAAATGGCCAACATGCGAAAGCATAAGGTATGGCATCTTGTTCCACTTCCTAAAGACAAGACTCCACTAGGTTGCAGGTGGATTTTCAACATTAAACATGACGAATTTGGAAACGTTCGTTTTAAAGCTCGTTTAGTGGCTCAGGGTTATCGGCAAATTAAATACGATACCTATGATGAAACCTACTCTCCCTGTAGTCAACTTTTCAGTAATAAGGCTCTTTTTCTCCCCTTTTAGTTGCACACCTTGGATGGGCAAATATACAATGCGACGTAAAAAGCGCCTATCTCTACGCTCTTTTATCAGAGGAAATTTACATGTCCCAACCTCAGAGATTTGTAGAGCGAGATAAAGAAACTTTTGTGTGTAGTTTAGATAGAGCCTTGTATGGTCTGCATCAGAGTGGGCGATTATGGTACTACGAGTTAGATAGAACACTATGTAACCTAGGGTTTATCAAGTTTGAGTGGTGCAATTGTGTCTATCGTTTTAAAGATTTTGTCATTCTGTTGGTTTATGTTGATGATATAGTTGTGTTTGGAAAAAGTGAAGTTCAGGCTAAAAGAATATTAAAAGTCCTGAGTTCACATTTTGATTTGAAAATTTTGGGTAAAACAAGAAAGCTTCTGGGTGTGGAATTTGAATATGAGAACAATAGTGTTTTAATTCATCAGCAATTATATATAGAAGACATAGTTGATCGATTCAAGTCTTTTAAAATACAAATTACTTCCCTTCCAATAGTTAAAGGTGTGAAATACTCAAAGTCTCAAAGTCCCAGTACACAAGAAGAAACGACTGAAATGATGAATTATCCTTATAGAAATGTTTTGGGATGTCTCTCGTTTCTTTGCAATCGTACTCGTCCGGATATAGCTTATGCTGTTAATATATTTTCTCAGTTCCAAAGCAATCCTGGTAAGTTTCACTGGGAAGGATTACTTAAACTTTTAGGGTACGTTTCCAATACCAGACAGCACAAACTTAAACTGGTATGCAAGGAACTGAAGCTCAATATATATTCAGATTCGGATTTTGCTTCAAGCAGGGATGATATGGTGTCTATTGGTGGACAAATAGCTTTGTTGGGAGAATCACCTGTATCTTGGCGTACATTTAAAGAAAGGGGAGTGAGTTTGTCTACTATGGAGGCTGAATTTATCTCCATGACTGAATCAGCAAAAGAATTAGTTTGGTTTAAAAACATTTTGGATGAATGCATTCAGTTTAAGATTGCAAGTAACTATGTTTCGAAACCAATATTGTTTGCTGATAACATGGCTGCTATATGTTTTACAAAATCACCCATTGAAAACTCAAGGACAAAACATATAGATGTGAAGCTATTTTTCATTCGTGATCTATTGAACAGGGAAATTTTTGATTTAAAATATGTCCCAAGTAAAGATAATCTGGCTGATCCCATGACAAAAACCGCTGACTAAGCATAACCTGATAAGATTTTGTGGAACAATTTTTCTTATGAAATTTGTTTTTGTGTGTATTTAAATTAAGAGTTTTGTTATATTTGAAACTGAATATGTTATAAGTCATATTATGATGGATATTAGGTAAATGTAAAATTGTATAGTGTAGAATGTTGTATGAGTGACCAGGGCCCTGGTAAAAGTATTGAGTGTGTGATCATATATATGTCTTTGTATTGTTTTGTAACATGTTGGACTTTCTTGCTATGGTAAAATTTTTGAATAATGGGATAAGATGTTCCCAAAGGAAAATTTTCTTAAAAATTTCTGAATTGAATGAAATTGTGATATTTATTTATTCCTTGTTTTGAATTTTGTAAAGATACTGGCATTCATTTTTTATTTCAGGTCGGAGACGATGATGTGGAGGGCATTTGTTGGAAAATATAGCTTATTTTAAACCTTTTACTGCATCATCTCTCCTTGAAATGTTTATTTAGTTTAGTTCTTATTTTAATGTAATATAGTAGTTACTTCTACTTCTTTTTCTTGCTGCCACTGTTTGCATCGAGAACGGACTGTTTCAACTTAACTGAGATGCAAAAACGAAACGTGATGTTACGTCATCTGAAAAGCCGATTCGTGCCGATAGCTGATTGGTTGCCGTGAGATGACGTCATTCATACTTCTGCTATAAGTATCTCGCGTCGCTCTGGCTCAACACCTTCTAGTTCCTGCTTTCCTGGCACTTGAGTGAGCCGTTTCCAGCCCCTTCAGAAGGATGCAAGCAGTCCGGTGAATAAAGTGCCTTGGTTCCAGTTTGCGGGATGGCTGTTCCTGAATAAAGTTCCTTGGTGCCTGTCCGCGGGATGATTGTTCCGGAATGAGTTCCTTGGTTCATATCCATAAGATGGCTGTTCCAGAATAAAGTTCCTTGGTTCCAGAGGCTACCATATGAGTGACTGCTATGGGCGGCATCCATGTTCTTCAATGAAGGCGGCATTTAAAACACGTGAGCGGCGATTCCTCATGCAAATGGAGTTAGGCCGGTTTTGAGTGCTTTCAAGAACTTCATTTAAAATTTTCAGGTGTTTTCTCAACCATTGATTATGGACTTATTGAATGTGTAGCCAGCTTCATTTTTAGGCTGCATAATTAATGTTTAGGACATTTTTGTTTGTATTGAATGCCAGTGTTTTGGAGACCAGGTAAAAATGTTATTTGATGAATGATGGTTATATTATATTTTTCCTAAGACTTTGATATTGTTGAAATTTATTTTCTGTGTTTTTTATTATATTGTTAATAAATCGGTTAAGTTCAAAACCTTTTATTGTCTTCAATGTCTGCACAACATGATATCTCAGGAAGCTTTTATTGCTACTACTGCTAAATGTTTAATTTTTTATAAACTTTAAACTTTGCTTTAGCATCATATACGGCCCTCGACGATGTCACGCGTAATTTAATCTATTGCGGCGTTTCTGTGTAATTTTAATTTTTTTTCCCGTCATTTTTCTCGAGTGCGGCGTTTCCGCTGATGCGGCCTCTCTTCCGGAAATTACGGTAGAAATCATCTTACTTCTCTCTTCCTATCTATATACAGAGGGTGTTTACACATTTTTAGAACATTTACACATTTCAGAGCCGTTTAATTAATGTTTATAATGTAGAGAGTATTTTTTTAATCTTCAGTCTGATGGCCTTTCGTTTTTGACTATAGGTCTGCATTGTGATTTCCATGACAAAAGACACTTTTGTAAAATTTCAAACAGTATTGATCTCCACTATTTTTCAGAGTCTATCAATCATGGTAGAATTGAACTTAGAAAAAATTCTTTTTAAGAGACCAAAGGAACAACAATAGTCCATAGGTGAAACATGAGGAGCAGGAATATGTTGAAAAGGTGTACATAAGCACTACCTAGATCAGTCTTCATCTTTTCAAGAAATGCAGTGACACTTTCAAGGTATATGATTTGTTTCTTTATCTTGATGAAGTGTCTTTCTTTGAAAGTCACTGGAATAAGGAAATGGAATTTCTTCTGTAAGTACTGGGCGTAAAACTTTCTTTTGATAGCCCATTGAGTTGATTTTAACATTCTGCCCTTCCCATTCTTCTCATTTTTAATTTCCAGCTAAAAAAAGTCTTGCAGTAATAATAAACCTCTTACTGAAACTTTCTCTGCATTGATGGAACTAGGTTTGTAGATTTTTTTCTTCTTTGAACTAGATCTTTTTTGTTTCAGTCATTTAGGTAAATCTATGCTTCATCAAGTCACAATATATTTTAATTATCTCCTGTTAAATAATTTTCATATAACATTCTATAAATTGGTCAGCATTGAGGCACATGCTTCGGTAAAAGCTGGTAAACATTATGTTTTTTAGCTTTTTTGTGTTGTAAATCTTGGTGTATTATTTTATTTATTGTTCCTACAGATATATTAAAAGATTTTGATATTCATTTCTTCATTGGCAGATTTTCTCTTGTCACCAACGATTTAACATCAGAAACAGTATGTACCTTTTGTTTGGAGACTTCTTTCTATGTAGAAATAATGATTGATGGTTTTCCCTTTCTGATTAATAATGCTGCTGCTTATTTTGCAGTTCAAAATTTTAATACCATGCTTTTCACAATTTTTTTGAATTATAGAATAGGAATATTTCTCTTCAGAAAGTGACTAAACTTACCTGAAGCCTTTAGGATTAAGTCCAGCCGTGTGTGGAATGTGCGTAACTAAGACATTTTGCAACATGAGCAGCCTTCGATAAGTTTTCTCTGGAATGGGTATTACATAGCCTAGACCACCATCTAATGTTGCTAAAAAAATATACATATGTGTATATATATATATTTGAATTTAACAAACATTCTCTATTCATAAAAAGCAAATTAAAGTAATAAAATTTAATAGCAAACAAATAAATGATTAATTATTGCTGTGAACTAATCTATAATATCATTTAAATTCTGAGAGCATATGTAAATCAAGTGCAAGTATCAAAATCCACGAACAAATATATAAGTTAAAAAAAATTGTAATCCTATATATACATATTTATATAGAACAATAAGAAAAATGCTATTGCATTCTCAGTAAGAAAATGCATCCCATGCCTTAAGCTGCAGGAAATGTATAAGAATTCAGAAAGCTTGAAAATATCAATTTTAAAATAGAAAATTTTTGCAAATTCTGTGAGCTATTTTTCAATTTTTTGTCTGATAAGGAGAGAAAATTTGTATCATATTATTTTACAGTTAAATGCTATTGAAATTCTTTTCTTTTCCTTACTCTTTTTGAAGCTGTGTCTGAGACTTCTCCAAAAAATATAGACCTTTTAAACCATAAATGTTCCAAATTTTTAGACATTATTATTCAAACCCTTATATTGGTAAGAAAAACTGTGAGATTGATGAGACTGAATATCGATAAAAGGTTAATTTTTTTTACATTATTTTATTCAATATATTTATCATAAATACATTTTCTCTTAAAATAACATAACGTTAAAAGAGTTAATACTACTGGTAAAAACAGAACATTGCTGCCGGCTATATTTGAACTTAGAATTCGTCATCTGCAAAATTATATGGTACAGTACAAAGTCCGTAATCCGGATGTCCATTATCCGGAATGATCTATGATCCGGACCTTAAAGCCACAAACTTTTTTTTTTTTTTTGTATGCTTTACGCATGCACGTAAAGAATGCACATACATTACACATCCTATACTTCCACAGTCATAAAACCTTGGTTCTGTGCTCTCGTTAGGTATAGCGCGTGCTTTAATTTGTGTGTTAGTACTTGAATAACCTTTATTCTTCATATCTGAACGCGGATTTTCTCATAAATTTTTTATTCACTCTTAGAAATAGTTTTACACCTATACAAAAATAATTTTGTTACTACTCTGATCTGGATCTCATTGATCATAATCAGAATTGATGAATCATCAACAGAACCGCGACTGGCTATTTCCCGCATGGGCAATTAAATATGTGGAAAGGGATTCACCAGGTTTTAAGTGTCGTTTAAGTCCAAGCATTGGGGGGGGGGAAGCCGTGGCTTGCAATGAACTGGAAGTTGATCTGTCAGTACTATTCTCATCTTCAGGGAAGATGTTTTTATTTTATTCGGCTTATAATTCCTTACTAAATGTAGTACTTCATCTGGATGTACTACGTCTTTGATATGATATCTTAGATCATATATATTCTACTAGAGAGGTGCGAAAGATATTATTTTGATAGACAAAAGTGATGGGCGTTAATGACTTAAAAATTACAATTAACCCACATGATAACTACAATGGATACATAGATGCTAAACTGTATATAGCAAGAATTCAACTATCATCTTGAGTTTTCTGTCCTATGAAAGGAGCACATATAGAAGTGTGCTGGTGAAGGACACAAAACATTTTGAGTTGATTTGCACATCATTGCTATCAGTTTATTCATATCCTCAATAGTTTTTTTAAATCAATTTCCTCGCTATTATAAATATCACAAATACATATCAAATAGTTTTCTGGTTGCAATTTTCTAATTTCGACTATGCGCAATGTATGCTTTACGTATGCGCACGTTGAACATGATTTGAAGTGTGGTGGAAGGCAAACCGATGAAGGTTGACGGTAAACCGTAGTACTGAAGTTGGATGTGTTACGTGCCAGAATGTCGAGAAACGAAGAGAATTGAAGTCTCAAGTTCAATGAACTGAATAGCAGGATCAATAGAATTCCTTGAAAGAACTCTATTTAAATCATCTTTATACCTTCAAACAGAGTAAGACGTCTACGTACGGAACCATGCCGGGAGTTTACACGTTTCAACAATTTGATTCATAATAAGCAGTGATATCAGCCAGGATGGGACTGAGGGAGCTTCCCATGGCTAATCCCAGTTTGCTTGTAATTTTATTGGAAAACAAAATGGTTTGTTTCAAACAGAGTTAGTGAAGAATTAGCTCTCATTCGATGCAAGAGAAATAAATTCGCGAAGTCTGGTTTCTAGACTCTTAATGCACCCTCACTGGGACATTGGGGAATAATGATTTTACAATCAAAGAAACCATGAGTAAATTTCTAGTAGAAATGTTTTAAAACCTTTTTACAAACTCTTTGAATTTTTTTGGTGTAAATGTTATTGTTAATACAGTTGAAAATCTAGACACTAATATTTTCTAATGATACGAGCAGTACCTAATTGATACAATAGGTTGGAAAGGAGTACACTTTTATGAATTTTGGGAAGAGCATATAATCTGGCACAATTCGCAATAGATGGGATAAATGAATGTTTTAAGTTTTAGTTCTGGTTTCACCAACAGATGGCACCACTTGCTTATTCTTGTCCAGTCTTTCTTATCTTATCTAATCATTATTTCCTATCTTGTTCATTTGCGGTTTTGCAGCTGAGGATGGTGGTTCGGTAAAACCATAGAAACTAGTCCTGTAAAAATTATGTAAATATAATGCTGATTTTTGTTGTTTGACTTCTGAATTGATGATCTATAATTCGGTAAAACCCCTAATCCGGAATCGCCAAAGTCCCTACGAGTCCGGATTACAGACTTTGTACTGTACTAATCATGTTATGGAGAATTACAACTAATGGATGAATTAAAATAGCATGAATAGTACAGTCAAAAGTCGTTAATCCGGACTCGTCGGGACTTCGGCGATTCCGGATTATCGATTTTTCCGGATTATAGATTATCAGTTTAAATCTGGTAAGAAGGCATGCAGAAATTTTAAAATTAAAAACATGAAACCGTAATTTATGAAATAAAGAACAATTATGATCAAAAGTGTATCAAAATTTACAAAAAAAAAAAAAAAAAAAAAAAAAAAAAGAGCTTAATATTTATTTGTTTACTTTATTAAACATTTCTTCAATGTAAGTTGTTTAAGTGTTGCTTCGTTTTATGTGATAATATTTCTCTTTAATTCTATAAACAGACATAATTTCTTGTTTAGTTACAAAAAGTTCCGCTGTTCAAGTCCTATAATTGCTGTGTTGAGAATACCGACTAATTTGTCAATCGAAATGTTTTCGTTTTCAATAACCTCTGGGTCACTTTCTTCCCTATCGGAAGCGAATTATAATGACGAGGAACTTGATTTAAATCATATCAAAGACGGAGTACTTCGAATGAAATACTACACTTAGTACGGAATTATAAACCAAATAAAATAAAAACATCTGCCCTGAAGATAAGGATAGTGCTGAGAGATCAACTTCCAATCCGCAGCGTGAAATTGATAAACAAATTTCGGATTTCAAAACATACTTTCGCTTTGTAGGTTACAAATTACATATTAGTAAATATATATCGGAAATTCTAGTTGACATAATCTTTCTAATCTATCATAATCTAATAATGACGTTTCTCTGCCCCCCCCCTCTGCGCAGAGCACGTGAAATTGATAAACAGATTTCGGATTTCAAAACATACTTTCGCTTTGTAGTAAATATATATCGGAAATTCTATTTGACATAATCGAAAGTTCAAGCTTACTTTTATAAATTGCTCTAACAGTCTGCAAAAATATAAGCCGGATCCAATTCGAAGATTAAGGAAACAACGCAATCTGCAAACTGCAACATTAACTGAATTAGATAACTTTAGCTTAGCGTATAACTCCTAACCCGTTACACATAAACGCGCATGCGCACAAACTATTCGCAGCCGTAAGAGTCTTACGCGCTCTCGTAAATGCCTGTGCGCACGCGTGAACGCGGCGCATGCGCAGAAAGTTTGTAGCTTTGAGGTCCGGATTATAGATCATTCCGGATTATGGGTGTCCGAATTAACGACTTTTGACTGTATTTAGAGTTTTACTGAAGTGCTAAACTTTTGCAGATACATTTACTTTAGGTTTTTTGGTAATTATTGGAGAGTTGGATAACATTGATAACTCTGGCATCATGTGCTGTTCTTGTAATAGTAAAAAGCATATATATATCAGTAAAAGGAGGAAGCAATAATATATATATATATATGATGAATTTTAACTGTTTTGGTTTATGGAAGCAAGAGCAATAAATTCAAACATTTTTTGAAGTGCTTATCTCAAAATGACATTTTTATTAAGTCTCTATGTAAACATATATAATTATTAGTATTTCTGTTTAAATGCGAAAAATTTTGATGACAGCTCATAATAATTTTAGGATGATATAGAAATTATGACTCTTATCATGTACATATTATAAAATTAAATTTTAAACTAACTCCCCTATTTATTTGGCCACCTATTTTTGTTAGTGTAAATTAGAGCATGCTAGACCCTAGAACTATGAATAATATTTTAAGATGATGATATTTCGTTATTTCATGATTATGACATTAGATAAATTTATTTAAATTTCACATAAAATTTTAGTTTAAAATTGCATAATAAATTTAATTTGTTTTATATAAATATTATTTTGGCATTATATCCATTTTTAGAGAGAAATGTAAGTTTATACACAGGATGTATGCAAACTCTGCGATACATTTCAATTATAGAAGCTGTCGAAGATACAAATAAACTGATAGCAGTGATAGAAACATAAATTCAAAAAGTTCCTTTCTTTTTTACCATATAATAAGTGGGTTCACAAATGGCACTACCAAGCAAAATTTACCTTAACTAAAGAAATGGCAACTCCATAGAAGGAACTCAAACTGTGTGCTCGATTTTGGAAACAAAATCAATGACAAACTTTGGAACACATTACCAAAAAGATCCCCCTTCTTGAAACGATAATGGGGGGGGGGAGGTTCTTAAAAATGGAAAGTATCTTAGATCATATATATTCTACTAGGGGATGTGCAAAAGATATTATTTTGTTAGACAAAAGTGATGAGCGTTAATGACCCAAAAATCACAATTAACCCACATGATAACTACCATGGATACATAATTGCTAAACTGTATATAGCAAGAATTCAACTATCGTCTTGAGTTTTCTGTCCTATGAAAGGAGCACATATAGAAGTGTGCTGGTGCTGGACACAAAACATTTTAAGTTGATTTGCATATCATTGCTGTCAGTTTATTCCTATCCTCAATAGCTTTTTTATATATTAATAATTAAAACATATTCTAAACAGATAAAAATAATCTTAGTATAATAGATTTGTCTCTTCATTTTAAAAAGGTTCCTATGAAACTTAAAACTAATTCTTTACAAAATAAATATAAATTTCTGTCTGCTAAAGAAATCAGATAAATAAAGCTAAAAATAAATAAATAATAATAATAATAAAAATAACAGCATGCCTTACCAAACATTGTAACATGTCTCTTTTCCAGAATGGAAGCTTGTCGCCTATCGTAATTGGCTATCTCACCCAAACGACAGCGAATTCGAAAGAATGTGTTAATGTGATATCCGATGTGAATGTCTGCTTTACGAAGAAGCTTTGATCCGCCAAAACTTTCTCTGGCTTCAGGGCAGTACATGAAGAGAACTAAATTTTTCTCAACATCAGACACTGAAATGCACAATTTTAATTTTGTTTAAAAAAAGTAAAGTTACAGTCTTAAGAAATGCTATAATTTAAATAAATATATTAATTCATACAGATCTGAGAATAGTCTTTCTAAGTAAGTTTTATATTTTACCTAGGAAACCAACTTGAGAATTATCTATGAGGAATTCAATGCCATAAACTTCCAATGGTTTTACATCCTGCAAAGAATAAAGTATTCATCAATAAAATACAACAATATAAATTCAAAATATCTCAATATAAATTATAGGATTCATTTTAGCTGAATTCATTTAGCTAATTTTGCTACAAAATGCATACTAGAAACACTAAAATTTTATACAGTTGATTCAGGTTAAACTGTAATTACACTAGAGTCATAACTCTTTGGTTCAAATACCATGTTTTAATTACATAAAATTCATTATAGTAAAATTTCTAAAGGTTACTAAAAATTAATGTAATGTTTATAATACTGTATTTTTTATTATTATTATTCAAGAGAATTCACAAAAAGAAGCAAAATGTACATTTAATTGAGATTTTAATCATTATAAACTTATTAATGACTATTTAAGAGCACTCTTTTTATTGATAGCACTGAGTGAGTTACAAGTTTAATCATTTTGAAGATAAAATTTTCATTCAAAAAAGAATTATCAAAAGACTTAAAAGTAGGATATTTTCTTTGTATAAAAAAGGAAAAGCACATTAATATATACACATTTAATACAATATTACTGAAATTTTTTACAATGAAAATATCCCAAATCATTTCTGTGCAAAATGCTGTTGAAATATTAATTAATTATACGGTATTTCTCCCGCCTTCTAAGCATGGCTTTGTAGTGTAGTGGTCAGCATGCTCACCGCATATTTGAGAGGTCCATGGTTTAAGTCCCAGTGAAGGCGTTGCTCATTTTTCACGTTTCCAGCTTCCAAAATACCTAATGTCTCTACAGTGGTGCCCGAAATAAAAAAGGTGGTGGATGATGCCAACACAAGGATTTGGCGATTGGGTCCCCTAATCCCTAGTCACTCTTTAAAAAAAGGTGGAGTATATAAGGTATTTCTCCCACCTTCTTAGCATGCCTTTGTAGTGTAGTGGTCAGCACACTCAAAGCATATTTGAGAGGTTCGTAGTTCGAGTCCAGGCGAAGGCATTGCTCATTTTTCACGTTTCTAGCTTCCAAAATGCCTAATGTCTCTATAAATTATAGACAAAAATGTAATACATTTAGAACCAAAATTACAAAGGCATGAAAGAAATGAAATACAAAACCAGTACAATCCCTAAATTGGCAATAGCCAGTAGCACCAATTTTTTTTGTCAATAGCATCAAACAGGCAAACCTAGGCATTAGTTTTCCCATTTTGAATCAGTTTTCTTTCTTCTTCAAACAGATAAGTTAACAAATTTTGTTCTGAGTTAATTTTATAAATATTACTTGAATTCTCTAGATTTTGTAAATTAATTCGCTTTTATTTTTAATTTTAATATTAGTAATTATATATATCTTTTGCTTTATTAGAAAAATTGAATTAATTTCATTTAAATTTGTATTTATGCATTACTGAAAGTAAAGTGGCTGTGTAAAGGAGGCATTCAAAATTTTTGGATGACCTATAAGTGATTAAATAATTTAAACTCCAGCTAATTTTGAGTGAACAGAAACACGGTAGTTTTTCTAGGAAGTTGACTTCAATCAGAATCTGATCGGCCTCCTCTTGATAACGCTGAAACAGATTGTGATTTTATTCTTTCTCCTTATCTTTTTTACATATTTTCCTGTATTTCTATTGTTTTCAGAGTTTTTCCTGGTTTAACCCTTTCAGGACGGGCATCCCATATACGCATTCCTTAAGAACATCTCTTACAGCCGGGCGTCCCATCTACGCATCAGTAAAGATTGCATTCAGAGGACGGTTGATGCGTATACGCATTTTAAGATGGAACATTTTTCTGAAGGCCACTAGATGATATCCTGTGTCCATTACTTTTGAAATGAACACAGTTTTAGGTTCCTGACCTTGAGTTTGATATATTCTGCTTGACTTTGGTATTTTACTCATCAGCTGTTCGAGGGTGGGGCGTGGGGTGGAGGGAAAGCGTAAACAGAGGTGGGCTCTTTAAATCGCTGCGTGCTAATGAAAACGTTCTCGTATCTGATTTATATCCAATTCCTTTTTTCATTCTATTTTTTTCCTCTACTATGTACGGTCTTTTAGGGTTATCTGCGGAGTTTTTTTTAAGTTGTTCATTGCCTTCAGATATATTTCCGTTCCTTCTTTTTTTATTTAGGAAAGCCTCACCTCCAGTCTATTATGGCGGGAAGGCGCTATTTATCAGAGGAAGAATACCCTAGTATGGTTAGTGAACCATTTACTAACGCAAATGAGAGTACTGATTCATTTTCTAAAGAGTTAAAAAGGCGATACTTTTTCTAAGAGTTACAAAGTGATACTTCTCTGTGCTTCAAGATTTACCACACTCGTTTTCATTTTATATTTTGTTACTTCTTACTGTAAATAGTCTTTATTGTGTTCTTTTATTAATTTTAAACTTATTGATGGATTTTTATCATTAAAACTTTGGCATAATTTGAATAGCGCTTCCGAAAATTATTTTAGAAGATAAGCAATTTTTTAAGTATATTTTCATGTAAAATAAAGAAAAAAAATGTTTTAAGGGCTAATTTTAACATATATAAGAGCTCAAGTAATAATCTAAAATGATACAAAAAATTACAATGCTAGAAGCGAAACTTTTGTTTTTCTGATTTTTGTTATATTAGGCTTAGCGATGCAAAACCTTCGTCGGTTCGTACGGTGACTGCCTTCGATTCCCTTCCGTCCCACATGAGTCTTAAACAAAGGTGCACGTCCCGCACGAGCGTCTTAAACAAAGGTGCACCATCGCGAAAAGGTTAAATACACTGACATGATAGGGTCCTTTTTCATTTTTATTAGGAGATTAACCCTTTTACACTGGTGCACCTTTGTTTAAGATGCTCGTGCGGGACGGAAGGGAATCGAAGGCAGTCATCGAACAGGATGGAGGTTTTGCATAGCTAAGCCTAATTTTATAAAAAAAAAGTTTCACTTCTAGCATCGTAATTTTTGGTATCATTTTAGATTATTATTTGAGCTCTTATATAAGTTAAAATTAGTACTTGATAACAATTTTTTCTTTATTTTACATGAAAATATACTTAAAAAATTGCTTATCTCGTTAAATAAATTTCTTAAGTGCTATTCAAATTATTCCAAAGTTTTAATTGATAAAATCCATCAATAAAGCTTAAAATTAATAAAACAACATAATAAAGACTATTTACAGTAAGAAGTAACAAAATTTAAAATGAAGACTGAGTGTGGTAAATCTCAAAGCACAGAGAAGTATCACTTTCCAACCCTTAGAAAAAGTATCACTTTCTAACTCTTTAGAAAATGAATAATTACTCTGATCTGCATTAGAAAGTGGTTCATTAACCATATGAGGGTATTCTTCCTTTGATAAATAGCGCCTTCCGGCCATAATAGACTGGAGGTGAGGCTTTCCGAAATAAAAAGAGAAGAAACGGAAACATATCTGAATTCAATGCAAAACGTAACAGAACTCCACATAAGTAACCTTAAAAAGACTGTAAAAGACTCCCTATAGTAGGGGAAAAATAAAATAAAAAACGAATTAGATATACACCAGACACGCGAATGTTTAATTAGCATGGAGCGATTTAAAGAGCCCACCTCGTTTATGCTTCCCTCCCCCCCCACCCTCGCAACAGTTGATGAGTAAAATACCAAGTCAGGCAAATATATCAAACTCAAGGTCAGAACCTAAACTGTGTTCATTGCAAAAGTAATGGCCATAGGATGCCATCTAGTGACCTTCAGAAAAATTTTCCAGCTTAAAATGCGTATACGCATCACCCGTCCTCTGAATGCAATCTCTAGTGATGCGTGGATGGGACACCCAGCTGTAAGAGACGTTCTTAGGGAATGCATATATGGGGCACCGTCCTGAAAGGGTTAAGGAATTGTACTGGTTTTATATTTCATTTCCTTGTTCTTTTGGTTTTAAATTTATTACTTTTTTGTTTACACATTTAATATGAAACAAATATACTACAGTACAAAGTCTGTAATCCGGACATCCATAATGATCTATAATCCGGACCTCAAAGCAACAAACTTTATGCGCATGCATAAACGCATAATGCATCCATTAATGTATAATGGACGGTATAAGCTAGGTTAAAATTATTTAAGGCATTTCAGTTAATGTTGCAGATTGCGCTGTTCTTTAATCTTCTAATTGAATCTGGCTTATTATTTTTTGCAGACTGTTAGAACAATTTTTAAAAATTAAGCTTGAACTTTCGATTAGCCAAAAAGTTTTCCAATTCTGGAGCTGCCAAAGGATCTACAAAGCGAAAGCATGTTTCGATGTCCATTAAACAAAAAGTGGAATTGCTACAAAAAATGGATAAAGGCCTATGCGTCTCAAAATTATGCGAGAAGTATGGCATTGGAAAGTCTACTATATATGACACAAGAAAAAGGAACTTTTTTAATTTTTTGTGAAAGCATCTTAAACAACTTACATTGAAAGAAATGTTTAATAAAGTATATAAATAAATATTAAGCTTTTTTTTTGTAAATTTTGATACCCTTTAGATCATAATTGTTCTCTATTTCATAAATTACGATTTCATATTTTTAATTGCATAATTTCTGCATACCATTTTACCATTTAAATTGATGATCTATAATCCGGAAAAACCCTTAATCTGGAATCACCAAAGTCCCGACGAGTCCGGATTACGGACTTTGTACTAGATCTTGTACCAAAGAACCAAAGTTTAAAAAGCATTGATATAAATGAAAAGATCAAAATTGACATGAAGATGTGAAGCTACAGCTTTAAAAATACAGTGAATTAAAAGTAAAATACAGGACAAAATGAAATACTTAAATTTTTTCACCTCCAATGGCGGGCCTATAATGGCACTGGCCACTCCTAAGGCCAGAAGTGGTGCAAATATTTAAAACAAAGCTGCAAAAGTGTGAATGCTAAATTTTCGCATTTTGTCATGTATTTTACTTTTTACAGTTGAACCTCTATATAAGAGAATTTCGAGATACGAGGAAAGTATGAGCACAAAATTTTGTCTCGAAATACAAGCATAGACTCGAGTAACGAGCAATGAGCCAGGCTGCTTGTATGCGTGTCGCCATTCCCTCATCCGGCTCAACTCAGAGTCACCTTGTCAGATCACTCGGTGTTCTTTGATCTACATGTTTGTGCACTTGTGAGTCAATTGTTTATTATATTTAACATTAAAATAATTATTTCACAATGCTTCCAACAAGATTGTTGCCTGTGATAGTGCTGCAAAGAAAATTAAGGAAGCCATGGTCATTGAAATTAAGAAAGAATGCATAGATAAACAAGCATGGTGTAAGCGTGATGGACTTGGTAAAGACTTAACCGACATCAAGAATTTGCATTATTCTAGAGAAGCAGGAAGAGATTAAAAAACTTGATGTAGCCAAAGGAGTTACCGTTGCTTCCAAGCACCAACCAAAACTCCTAGAAGATGATGAGAAACTGTTGTTGGCATGGATTAACGAGAAGCAGTTAAAAGGTCAATGTCAGAAGCTATCATAAAGGTAAACTACGGTTATATTATTTACCAGTATCATTTATTAGAAAAAAAGACTTTTATGTTGATATTTTTGGAGGTGCGGAACAGATTAACTGGATTTCCATTATTTTCAATGGAGAAGTTTGTTTCTAGATACCAGAAGTTCGCTATATAAGCTCAATGCTTGAATGAATAAAAACTCATATCTCAAGGTTTCACTGTATTGACATGTTTATATATTATTATTGTTTTTATATAAGTTATTTAGTTATAAATTATTATAATTGTCAAACTGGTTCCAGGTGAAGGAAACCAGTATTATTAAATGCTTGTTCTTAACTTAAGCATGCAAATTTGTATATTTCAGTTAAGGGTACATAAATATTAATTTATTTCAAAATGATGCAAGTGAATAAGTTAAACTACCTGATATTTTTTGTTGCTTAAAAAAAAAAAAAAAAAAAAAAAAACATACTAATATAGGCTGACAGTAGAATAACCATTAGAACACGAAGCAAATGTAGAAAAATGATAAACTAAAATATGCAAAAGTAAAGAATAAAATAGAAGACGAATAATCCTTTTCCCCCTCATAACAGTTATTTTTGTGTGTACATTCCCAGCAACTCAGAAATATCACATAGTTTAACTTATTCATAATCGTATGCATTATTTGGATCTAAATTAAGGTTTATTTTATTCCGTTTCTTATGGCAAGTAACATTCCCTGCACTTTTTTAATTCACTTCAATTTTCAGTTGTATATACACACATACATGCAGAGTATAACAGAAATGATGATCACATATTTAAGGCATGATAGAATATGACAAAAGAAACAATTTTCATAATACAATGTGAATATAAAAACACAGTAAGTATAAAGAACGGAGATAAGATTTCATAAAGTTATTTTAATCATTTCAATGAGACCTGTCATTATTGGAATGCACATATTGCAGGTATTGGTCATTCATTTGAACAATTCTTGTAACTATCAAACACCTTGTCCACAATTAAATTACTTTTCTTTCCTTTTCTTTGTTTTTCACACTTACTGTGTTTCTGAATTCAAAATTCCCATTCTGTCATGCACCGTATTACAAAAACGGCTACTTCACATGTTCTATTATCCTGTAAAGTTGTGAATATCAATTTTATTACACCCAATAAAAAATGGTAATTCTTAGAATTTTGTAACTGAATTTTTCAGCCTATGTGAAAACTTCGATTTTCGTAACTTCGAAAAGAAGTTTGAATTCAATTAAAAAAGTGCTTACTCTGCTCACAAGTGATAGTGTTCTGCTGTTTTCCTGATAACGTAGTAATGAGATGGATTTATAAACATCAGCAACAATTATTAAATTTTTTAAAGAAATAGCAGAATGAATATAGATGTGCGTGTCTATAAAAGCAACACCAATCAGATCATTATCTTTTAGCTGCCAAATATAAATCTGAAAGAAAAATTTATATTATATTAATTTCTACAATTATATATATATATATATTTCAATCTCAATTTATAAAAGAAATCAAAACTTTTAAATTTAATTATTTTAATTACATGCAACTTGCAATATAATCAAAATTAAAAAAAAAAAAGTATGTGCAGTCTCTTTCTTCAGTTGCAACAAAAAAATATTTACTGTCACTTACCTTTTGACCAATTGCACTTAAAAGGAAGCCTGAAACTTGGCATATAGCAGTGATGGGACCTTTTTGTTCTTTACTGTAAACCAGCTAAAATAGTCATAAATTTACAGAATTAAGAATTTGCAGTTATAATGAAAAAATTTGTAAAAAATCATCATGAAAATAATCTCAAAAGTATATAAAAACATATAAATGCTTGTTGCTTCACAAAATAAATTTAACACCAGTGCTACATACACAGTTGAGTCACAGTAACATGACTACCTGTTAATTCTCAGAATAACCATCATAAGTAGCCTGAACAGTAACTGGATAGTCTGAAGGGACTCGGTAAGGTTCTGGAAAATGTTCATAGGGATATGAAACCCTGCTGACTGCAGTGCAGTTAATTGCCACTTGAGAGTGCATGACAGGGCATTTGTAGAAAAAAGAAAATGGTGGTGGGGGTCCCATATACCTGGACTGGATTTAAAGTGGAGGACTTGAAGTGGTGGTGAAGAAGTGGATTTAAAGTGGAGGACATGAAGTGACTTAAAGTGGAGTACTCAGGCCCAGCAGGGCCAGATTTACCTATAAGCTACACAAACTATAGCTTAGGGCAACCCAAAAAATTAAAATATAGTATAAATAGTATTAAAATATATTATAAAACACTTATAAAGAGCCCCATACCTCAAGTAGTTTAGGGCCTTATTAAGTCTAAATCTGGCTCTGGGGGCCAGGGAAGGCTAGTAAATAGCACATTCCTAGCTACATCACAGCGTGATGTCAGAAGATACTATCATTTCCAAGACGGGGGGGGGGGAAGAAAGAAAAAGAAAAATACTTGTATGTATGGTCTGCAAGGAACGAAGCATACATCACTACATAACCCACAATGATGAATGTATCCAGAGAAGCCATAAAAAACATTTTTCAGATTGTAACCTTGCTTCTTCCAGCTTGTATTCATGTACTAATGGTTGAGGGTGCATGTTCTGCAGTATTTCTTGCTGTATGTGGTAGTGTCCCAATCCAATAAAGCATAACATGTGATCCACCCAAGAAGGCAAGCAATCAGTGGAAGTCCATAACTGGTGCTGCATTGTAAATTGCAGCCTGTTTTCCTATTGAACACTTTTGAGCACAGGTATTCCCCTATCTGTCTACTGCAAAACCCATAAGCAGCAAAGTTCTCAGAATAACCATAATTTCAGACACAACTGTGGTAGCTCTATGGGTTATTTGACTCAAACTGCTACATTCTAGCATGTCTAATACCCTGAATGCACCACTTCAAACTGCTGTTTACCTTATTCACTTAAAACTTAACTCGTTCAGGACCAGCATCACATATACGCGATGCAACGATTCCACTCCTACCAGCCCAGCGTCCCGTATACATGACGAAACGATTCTGCTCCTACCAGCCCAGCGTCCCAGATATGCGACGCAACAATTCTGCTCTTACCAGCCCAGCGCCACGTATACGTAACATTAAAACGGAACAATTTATTTGAATTTTTAAAAGTCAGTAGATGGAGATAAGTGGTAACTGTTTTCATATGGGTTGGTTCATACGGCATTTGACCTTCATATACTGGCATTAGTTTCTGCTTTGTGCTTCTCGTTTTGATAGATTTATTGAAATAAAGAAACTTGGAATCACGGCTCTTTATAAGTGTGCTTGTGAATTAAAGGGGCACAGGCATTTTTGTTTATTTCGTTAGGATTTTTTTTCTTTTATTTCCTTTCGTTTTTTTTTTTTTTTTTTAAACTTAACATAAGCTTTCTTGTTTAATTAAAAAGTAACAATGCAACATTATTACAGAAGGGGAAAGACTCAGCTTTCTTGATGTGTAATGCGTTTTACTCACTCGCATTTTTCAGGAAAGAGCCAGCTTTTTTTTTACCCCCCTTACTCGATTTAATAGGTCATTATATATACTGACACAGGCATTATATACTTTGGTTACTTTACATATAATGCAATTATATATAATATGTATATTGACGTGATCAGTAACGGATATCCTGCCAGTGGAGGTCTTTCCTTGATCACTTTCCGGTCAGTGTGGACACTGTTTCTGATTTAGAAAAACAGGCAGTTTTTTAATATTAGCAGTTATATTCAGTTTCATTCCGTTAGCCATTGCTAAGAGACCTAACTTAAAAACTTAAAAATTTGTCCAAAATCACCGGACACTCGACCTTTCCATCTAACTGGAAGACAGTTTCCGAAAATTTACGTTGACGGAGAAGGTAACAAAGGTAGGAGAAGATGTGTTGTGTGCACTAAAACCAAGGAAAAGCAAAAGCAAACAACATATTTTGAGTGCAAAATATGCAATGTAGGTGTGTGTCGATCCTTGTTTGAAATTATTTCACACACAGCAGAGTTTTTAAATTGGAATTTAATTACCTACAGGTAATTCTTGTTTATTATTATTTTTTAATTTAATATTTGTAAATTTTGTTCATGTTTATAGCATTTATTTCTGTGTGTACAGTTATGATTTTAATATTTTGCCTTTTTAATTTATTTCTATTAATGCGATAATCTTTATATTAATACACATTAAAAACAAGCACATTAAATATGCAACTTCAAAAATTAAAATCATATTATCAAAATGCTGATTTTATATAATTTTTTTTGTAAAATTAGGCCTAACTGCTGAAAATGTGTGGGCCGGTGGCGACGATCCATTTCAGCAGGTCTGGTCCCATTACTGTGCTTCATTCTCCCGGCACTTGTCCTTAAGGGGTTAAGGTACTTCTCAGTGTCCATAGATATTATTTTGTGTAGTGCCAGTTTGCTACTTGTGGTACACTTTTCACGGCAGCAGGTGAACAGTTCTGAAATTGTGCAGTTTCTGAAACACTGTCAACCTTATTTCAAAAATTATTCTTTCTTTTTTCTTTTTTTTCTTTTCTTTTCTTTTTTTTTTTTTTTTAAGTCGGAAAAATTACTCTGTTTACTCATGACAACAACTTAAATGTCCTATTCTGAACCTGACTTCCTGAATGTCAACACACTTTATATATCCACCAAATCTGCTGCCTATACTAGTGGTTACGTAGTACTGATGTCAAATTTAAAAGATGTCCACACTAAAAATGATAAAATACAGTTACTTAAATCAATCTCAGTATTTCAGATGCTACTTTATGGTTGTACCCACCCTAAAAAAATTCACGAGTTCATTGCTGACTTTGTGACTGAATGAAAGTGTTTATTATATTATTTTCAGGCCCATAAATAATGTTCAGTTCAGAAATAATAATAAAAATATTTCATAAAAAACAAATATTATGAAAAAAAAAAAATCTCTAAGGCCGATTTTTACTACAGATACAGGCAATCAATCAGTAGCAATACAGAACATAGCTATAGTTGTCTTATAAGTTTTCACAGTAGTAATATTAAACAATAAATTTTGAAATATAATTTCAAATTTTAACAGCATAAATCAGTATTACTATCCTCAATACATTATAACCATTTAATAAATGTACCACTAGATTTATTGAATTTAAATTGCCAAATAAAACAGTTTTCATAATTATTCTTACTGCAAAATATTCAAATGATAGTGAGGTATATATTTTGGTGTCAGCAAGGAATTTATTTTAACAAAAATTATTAATGTTGAAACAAATAGCAGATAACACTTTCATGACAACCACCTTCTTAAGATGACTCCTCCTGAAAAAGAACAAAATGCCTCCCAACTTACTGAATGCAAAAATCAGAAGAATTTTCCTTAGAAATTGAAAGAACTTTCTCAACAACAGAAATAATTTTTAAATGACAAAAATATACAGAAATGAAAGTTTGTTTTAAATAATGAGCTGTTTATTTAATATTTCAAAGTAAAAATACTAATTCTTGAATGCAAATTGTGCAAAAACACTAATATATTTTACAAAATTAGTTTTTTACTTCTTACAAAAATAATATTTTAATCAATATTCCTTGATTGTTAACAATAGTGGCATGTTTGCTTTCTTTAAGAAAAAAAAAAAAGCAGCACAGTTTTATTCATAGCAACTGCCAAGAAGGTGTCTTTGTGCCAATAAAAGCTACTCCAGTACATCATCATTAAAAATGGGTGTAAATTTAGTTCTTGTTTAGTAATAACTGTTAAGAACAAAACTGTCTTGCATTTTGCTACAAAGAACAATCAAGATTGAAAACATTATTTTAGATAAATAGTTCACTAAACTTTAAAATTCCATCAGCACTTTCTAGTTTTCAAAATTAATTCCATTATGTACTAATCCTTAAAGAGGTAAGTTGGAAAAAAAAACTACCAATGTAAAATTGAATGCAAATTGTGCAAAAAAAAAAAAAAAAAAAAAAAAAAAAAAAAAAAAAAAAAAAGGCAAAACAGAGACCTCATTTCAACAAAATTAGGCAAAACAGAGACCTTATTTCAACACAGACTTACAAATAAAATTCTACCAGTTTTGATGGCAAAACAGACACAGGTTTCTCTTCCTTAGGAGAAAAAATTTAAATCACTTTAATTAAATTTCTTTCAAAATATTTAATGATGACAAGAACACTAAGAACAGCGTTAAAATTTTTGTACTCATTGATTATGTGTGCAAGATGGCCTGGAGTTGTGTTTGATGGTAACTGGAGAACTGAAGCATGATGTTTTCAAATACATCTATTCTCACACACATTGAAATAGCCAGCCATTGATGATTAGCAACTTTTTAATAGATACAGTACAAGCTCGACTATCCAGAAAGCTATTTAAATGCTGAATTCTGGACACATGAAAATTCCAGATATTTAAGCACACACATGAAAAAATGGAATTCACATCAGAAAAGCCTAATCAATGAGGAAAATTTCAGCAATTTCAGACATAAAAGCTAACAGATTTTGTAGGCCTTTAACATGAAAGTAAAACATCTGATCTGATTTTGAAATCCTGCCTAACATGAAAGTTGAAGGAGATGTTGCCAAGCATTATGGCAGAAGATCATTCTTTAGTTAATCAGATAATAAAAGGGACAAAACTCCAGAATTTTTCATGTTACATAGCCACTGTTTATTCATTTCCGAAGTTGTGTACCATGGCTTTTGTTGCCTGGTTTTCGTAATTTAAAAAATAATTCACTTCATGGAGTTTGAAATATTACTAATTTTTTTTCGAAATATGAGAGAAAAATGTGAATTATATCTTTCCTTACAAAAGTAAAAGCAGCTTATCGAGAATATATATAATTTAAATTAAAGCAAAACAAACTTATTATTACTGTGTTGTGACATCATGCTTATCCATTAATGGCATTAAACGACAGTGTTTGGCAACAATTAATGGTATTACAAACTCTGTAATAGCATTAAAAATCTAATCCATCTAATCTACATTTACTAAATTTTTCTGGGGAAGAATTTTCTAAATTTCTAAAATATTCCAGTTAGTTGAATGTCGAGCTTTTACTGTCCTTTAGAGAAAAATCAAGCAAATTCTGATCCTGGAAATTGCATTTCTGGATACAAATAAAGAAATATGCCAAGCTGTGTAAAATTCATAAGAAAATTTAGGAATAAGACAGAGTCTGGAAAAATATGATGTAAATCTTCTTAACAGGCATAACAATTGAAAACTGGATGGTTGGCACATATGGTGACTAGTATTTCCGAGAACATAAACACTGACATTAAACATCATCGTCCTAAGACAACCACTTTCATAAAAGAGCAAAAGCATCTGCAATTACATACAGTTATTTTACTGCATTAATAAGATGGAAGCATATAACATAATTCTATAATTAACAATAAAAGAAATCTACCTTGATCTTATTTTTCGTTAGTGGCTGGCCTGGTTCAGGAACAACATCAATTATATCCAAGATCAAAATCTAAAATCAAAATAATGTTTTATGACATATTAGAAACTACACATAAGAAAAAGAGACTATACAAATTTTTATCAAATATAAATAAGTATACCTGTATTAAAATAAATCTATCATTCAATTTTTTAATCAATTTTGCATACAAAACTCCATAAAAATATTTGCAGTTATTAAGTACAAAATACACAACATATACTACAGAAATCAGGAAAGAAATTTCATATCTAATGCATCATCAAAATCTAGGTGTTTGTGATAAATGGCATAAATGTATCATTTGCATCACATAATACTATTAAATTTTAAGAGCTAAACAATTTAGTTCTAATTAATAAATAAGACTGCAAACTAACAGAAAAGGTTTTAAACTGTGAGATAATACCTAAAAAAGAGAATTAATCTTAAACTGAAATTTATCACTTGATTTAAAGCTGTAAATCACAGGAAAAATTAATGACTGAAAAATATATATTCATAAAAACTTTGACTTTTTAAAGCACAAATATTTCAGATTTGAAATTTTATTTTAACATAAGTTTATAGTTACTTCTCATTTTTGTAAATAATATAGACACATATATACATTATGTGTCTTTTTCTGCTAGAATTGATGTAAATGATTCAAGTAATTTAAAAAACATCAAATCAAATCTACTATTGGAGAACATGAAAAAAAATTTGCTACCAATATTTAAATATAAAAGGGACTCTTAATATTATATTGCTTTAGATTTAATTGTTCTTTTCACCTTTTTATTCATATTTTTAAGATTTAAAATTAGAGTATTACTTCAATTCAAAGCAAATATTTAAAAATTTTGTCTCTATTGATCTCCTACTCCATTTACACTTTAAAGAAATTATCTAAACATCTTTCTTTAAATGGCACAGAAAATGGTGTGCTCTGGTGCAATAGTTAAGATGAGAATTCAGGTTTTTGAATGTGAAAAATGCCTGAAGTGAGATTATATCTGAAAAGTGAGAGTGAATCTGAAAATATGAAGTGACAGTATATCTGAAAAAAACTCGCCTCAATAAATTGGTATCTTTTTATATTCATATTAGAGCCCATTTTAATAAATAAAAGTATATCTTGTTTTTCAATACCTATTGTAAAATAATTTTTATTTTCCTAATTTTCTCCTTTTAACTCTTTTGCATTGAGAGAGGACCAAATCTTTTTTCTTCAAACATCAAAAATGCCTGTGTATACAAATTTCTTTTGGAATGGTTTTCCTTCCCCCATGACAAGTAGAATACTACAGCGCCAACAATAACCTACTTAAGTAAAGCACCAACTTCTTTCTTGTGTAAAGTTTCACCTTGGGACAGGATTGCAATTTCGGGCATCAATAGCTAAGCATTGACAGTAAACAAAGGAAAAAGAAGGTGCATTAAAATAACAGAACCACTTTAAGTCACTTCAAAAGAATGATTGGCATGTCATTTAACAGTTCCTGAAAGCAATGAGCAATGAACTAAGGTGGTGGAGGAAAGCACTACGTAGGAATTGATTTAGGCGTTTGGGTGACCTGCCAATGTCTGAATGATTGGACGATTTGGGCGACTTCGATGTGAAAGAGTTAATTGAGCAGGGGTTTAAATTCAAATTAATATGGTCATTGAAATAAAAAGGGAGAAAGATTTTTAAAAAAATACATTTTTGTGGTTAAACTCAGGAATGAGTCATAAAAGCATTCAAAAATCAAACAGTATTTCTCATTCTGACCTGATTTTTTTAATAATCAAATTTTGAAACAAAAATTACGTAAATACAAATATATAATTATATATACTTTAACAAAACTCCCAGAAACTCACAATAAATTAACATTCAGTACTTATCTTCAAGTACGTAAAGTGAACTTTCCACAGTGAACACTTTAGAAAGTGAGCAATCTTCTCAGAATATAAGCATCACTTCTTAGAGCTAACCACTTTAACAAAAAAAAAAAAAAAAAAAAAAAAAAAAAAAAAGCATCAACAACTATAAGGGGTCATTTTAGGAAGGTTTCACGGTACTTTTCCATTTCACCAGCGCGAATCTCACCAAGAAGACTTTATTGCCGACAACATATAGTATACACATAAAAAATTTTAACAAGTGTTAGTTCTAGGAATTTTTAATTTTGAAGGCAAATATTAAATATAACATTTTAATATCATTTAGAATTTTGTAAAGAGCCAATAAATTTGTAAAATAACATTAGTTCAAGAATTTATTATGCTTTCATAGTTCAGCATCCTGATTCGCCGGTTCGTATGACATGATGCCAAGTGATCTCACCTCACGTAAACTACGCTACAAAAGTCCAATTCTCTCAGTAATTATCTACATTAATTTCAAGTTAAATCTTAATCTGGAATACAAATTTAAATGCAAGAATTACTTCAATTTGTACGAATAGCTTATGTAAAACCCGCAGTGCTTTATTTCACTAGTGCATTCTCATTAGAATTGATGAATTTAACTCTTGACTTTGCCTTTTCTAAATTTTCGCCTTCGGGTGAGCAGTGTGATGATATCTTAATTAACTTAAGTATCACAAGTGGCCTTAATGCATAAAATTGAACTATCTGGTAAAAATTCTATGTAACTGTGTACCAGTATTGAAAGAATATATCAATCTGATAAGAAATGGCTGCAACTTGTTTTGAAAATGTGGTGTAAAAGGTTACCAGCAAGGATACCCCATTTGGCATCATTTGTACCATTATTGGCGACTTTATCGCCTGCACCGGCAAAATGGAAAAGTACCGGTTTCACTGTATATGATCTAAGATATTAAGCATGATTAAACACAAACTCCATTCCTTGACCATTAATGCAATGTAGTGTGCTGGATGAAAGGAATGTGCAGTTGTAGTGGTATGATATGGCACATGTTCTTGTTCATATACAGTATAAATCATGTGGCAAAGATTCTTGTCTTTGCACAGGAATAGTTATTGAAAAATGGAGTTCTACATGCATAACTCATCCAAACAAGATAAATGTGCTATCATACAAATACTCAGTGTTGGAGAAGGCCAATGAGCTGAAGTGCTTTGTGATGCATTCCTTTCAAAAACAGCAGTGGTGGATTGAGCAAGAATGCTAGGAAAAGATGAGAATAAACAAGTGATTATTAAAACCAACATTCTTGCCACAGAGGTTACTGTGCAAAGGTGAATGAGGCTACTCGTATAAACGGAAACCACATCATTTAGTCCATAGCACATCAATTCAAATTCAGTTATGGGACTGTTTCCAGGAAGTTAGTGCAAGAATAAAAATTGGAGTGCCAGACGTTTCATTCAGATATTGAAGTAAAGGCTACAATGCATCAGGGCTCAATAGCCAATCTTCAGAATCTTACATGGGTGACATTTGTAGACTGGTCACACACAATGGGACATGTCTGAAAGTCTACAATGCCTTCTGAATAACAAATGTTGACATACACTTATCAATGGATGTCTGTATGAGTGTAGTTCCATACAATTATTACTGCTGCAGATATTGTTTACAAATGAATTTCAGATGATCAACACACAATCATCAGGGCTGCCTGTACAAAAGTTGCATCGTTACTCTTATAGATGTTGTCTGCAGATGGGTTTCAGTTGATCAACATACACACATCATGGATGCGTGTACAAATGTAGTTAAATACAATTATTACTGTTGCAGATGTTTGTAAATGAATTTCGGTTAATTAATCCACATTTCTATCTACTGATTGTGACTAGCTTTTCTAAGCATGGCATATAAAATGGAGAAATGAGCAATACATACCCGGCCTCTACTTGTTACATCTTCACCATATGTGTAGCTTGTTCCCACTGCTAAATAACCTTTTAAGCCACTGCGAGTTCCTTCAGACATAAGCATCACATTTTTTACACATGTTACATGCTCCCATTCTTCCAACTCCATTAAAGTGTTTGGTATCATCTCCCAGCTGACGGGTGAAAACAGCTGCATGGTGAATTTTTCGACCATAGGATAGATGTAACGCTCATCAGCTGTTACAAAAGAAAACATTACAAATTTATATATAATTTTCAAAGTGAACATAAAAAATGTACTTTTCTGTTATCCACTGCAAAATGATTTTGTGATGCTTAGCAAAAAGGAATGGGATTAACTGCCCAAATAAGGCACCATACTTTGCACATAGGCAGTTTTTGGATCTATACAATTATAATTACTCTGAAGTGCTGATTTTCACTCTAATTCCCTTTCACAGATTTCCAAGAATCTGAATATATTATAGATGCTCCACATGAATGACTAGGTACTAAAAGAAGGAAAACTTTATCAGTTTCCTTGTATATACTGAATATCATGTACTGTAGAGCTTACATAGCTTAGATATTGTGCTTTGTAAATAAGTTTCTGTTCCGCACTTCAGTAATTAAACTTACATTAATTTTCTTAGTTATTTACTTATTTTTGAGGGAGGGATGTTTTTCTAACAATGTATCACAGACTTATAATTATTTGAGTCAACTACACTGCAATTAGAAATTTGAAACTGTTTTCGACATTGTTAGTGTTTTATATATGGTTCTTTCCTCAATATCTGCAGACATCAGGGCATTAATCATTTGCAACTAACTAATAGATAAATACTAAAATATAAAAAATGCAGTAAAATACAAAATGTTCAGTGAATTTGCATTAAGGATGCAAAATAATATTTTTACGAATTTGAATCAGCTCATGCACAAGTTGAGCCCATATGTAAAGAAACCTGAAGGCCAACAGCACAATTTATTACATAAATTTGAACAAAATGACAAAGAATCAATAAAAATACAAGAATATGCCCTAAACTTTATAAAGCTCTTTATTTTTAATTACGATGGTAATTTGCTTTATTGCTTTGTTCATAAACTAAATGCTCTAAACTGCCAATATTTTTGTTGCTTCATTCTGATAATATAAATTTTTAGGCATTAAAACTCCTTTAACTTCAGACAGACTTTATCAAGTGCCTCTACAACTTTTCCAGAATCAGAAAGGCAATTCACCTTTGCTTTTTTAACATGTAAAGCCTTTAAATTTTTCTCCCCAAGATCAAGTAAAATATCTTTTTAGTACATTGATAGCTAGATTTTTCACTGATTAATATTTAATTTTTCCTTTTGGCAGCTATTAGTCAAAGATACAAAGACTTCAATACCATACTGTTAAATTGATTTTCTTCCTTGAACTAGTTACTTTTAATTTTGAAATCCCTTCAGCATTTATTTTTACTTGAACATATTCTCAATAATTCACTAATTTTAGTTATCCTATTTTTCTTCCTACCATGCATCACTTATGTAACGTTTTACTTTTCAAATTAAAAGTAAAAAAACTTACATTTTTATCATAGTTCTGCTTTAAAATCAACTAATGCATTTCATATCAGGTAATCCTGTAAGTTGGTCTCAAACTAGTGGATCCCAAAGTAATTTTATACGGCCCATAAATGCATTTCAATTATGTATTTGTTACAAATATAGTTCCAAGTAGCACAGCAACATCGCAATGACATTGCAAATTCGTCGTGGATGTTGTTGCAATATGTCGTCTTTAAGATGCCCAGATGTCCGGGAACATCCACTGTTTTACAACTGTTGCAAAGACGTCTTTATTGCATCTTTGCAGATGAGGTTTTTGTTGCATATACTTCGTTATTGCGTCTTTCGCAGGTGATATTTTGGTTGTAAAAGCATTGTATCAGGACGTTTTAAAGACGCCTAAATGTTCGGAAAATTCCACCTTTTTGCAACAGTTATAAAAATGTCGTTATTATGTCCTTGTGTAACATATTGATTTATGCAGAAAGATAAGCTTAATAATTAATATATTTTTCTACTTTTTAAAATTTTTGTATTCTTTGTATTTTTCTAAAGTTTAAATATTTTATCATTTCCTTAAAACCAGAAGATAATACAATTTTTTCTCTTTAGACTAAATATGCATAATTAATAATAGCCTTAATTATTTTCAGTACTTTAAAGTTTTTAAATTCCTCTTTAGACTATATTTTTTAAATAACTTAAGTTACGATTATTCAAGATTTCATCCTTTTCTTCCTTAAGTGAGAGTAATTGTGATAATTCGAAGTGGTATTTAAATATATAACATTAATAGTGGTTTTAAGTAAATAAACTCAATTAGAATAAATAAAAAGTAAAGATTATATGTGGGTAAAAAAAAGAGCGTTTCTGATAACATCATTACACTTTTATTCTGTTAATCTCAGAGATATTGAAAAAGCCCCTGTCATGATAATCAGAAGTGGTTCTTAGGTACATAGATATTTTACTGAACACAAGTATAAATAAATTTATTTGCGTTTCACAGTAAAAAATATAACCAACAACGTCTTTATCTCCAAGATATGCAAATGAAGACAGTTAACGTATTAATACTTGATCAAAAATTTACTAAACTAATAACTTCCAATCGACTAATGAATATAACCTAACAAACAAAGACAGACAGCACTATTTAAGAAAAAAAATGAATAGTAGTGTTGAAGTATAAATATCAGAAGAAGGTCCAGAACTAAAATTTCCAATAACATAAATAATGATAATAATATAATAATAATAATAATAATAAAAAGTGTTTTTAATAGTAAGCATTAAAAAGTTGCAATCTTTACTAGTATTGCTGATGATTTTACACATTTCTTTCGATCATGTGTTAATGTATTTATTTATTTTTAGTTTCTACGTTTTAGAATAGTGGTAGATTACAATTGATTATTTCATGCACTTTTTATAATCAGTATAGCTTTCCTTTTGTTACAGTACAGAAATAATTTAAATAATATAGTATACGATAGTAAGCTAAGTACATTAAAATAAGCTCTTTGTTAAATAGCACATGATGAAACTTTTTGTTTCTATTATGAATTTCTGTGTTATCACAAGCACATAAAATGAAAGCAAAGAAAATAGAATATACTTAAATTTAATAAAAAAATAAAACCTGATTTTTCAACATTAATTTATTGAGATATCTCATAACATACTAACGGCAATATTAAAAAAACGTGAATTAGACAGGTTTGGAAGAAAGATACCAATGAAAAAGTAATAAAACTGCAATTTGCAATCAATAAAAAATTTAGTGTTTTTAAATTACAAAATTAAATATCACATAATTATAGATTACATATTTCATGAAATGCTTGGTTTCAAACACTAGTTTTTCGATCATCCATTTCATACACTGTTTAATCATTAACCTTTTCTGCATACTGTACAAAAGACAATATACTATAGATGTGCATTATTTTAATTAATAATTAATTAAATGCTTACATACATATCTAGTTCATCTTCAGCAGTCATTTAGTACTGGTACCAGTCCACTAATGCTTGTACTTGAAATAATAAAATACCTAACAGTTTGAATTTTTGTTGCTTCTGTATTATTGCATTTTAAGCAAACCAGACAAAGTGGCTTACCGTTGTATGTTTATTTTTGGTTTTATAAATTAATTCTGAAAGCCAACTTTTAATATGAACCACAATAATCGATTAATATAAATGATATGTGGAGCCTCATAACGTTATAACTGAAGCACAAAGCTAAAAGTAAGTTTATCCAAATATTGCACTGCTGAAACCACAGGTATCAAAGGTATCAACGACAGAGATACTATTTCACGAACAATATATTCCACAGACCACTATAGACCTCAGAGACACTATTTCACGAACACTAGATTCACACACAAAATAAGCACAAATTCAGCATTCTGACAATAATTTCACTCGATGAAGGCAGTTGAAGCAAATAGATACAGAACAATGAGAAGATTCACAGTGCATTACATTTACTTTTAATATAAGCAATATTATTTATATCAGCCATTGCTTGATTCAATTTCAAACATGAAGTAAGTCTTTTCAAATACCTTACAGATGGCATCTTTACCCAATGACTTGAAAAAACTGCTATAATCTGAATTAATTGCGCAGTTGTTTGAATTTGGCAGCTAGCCAAAACGCACAAATCTCGAGATATTCGTTATACAGTGGCTCCCAAAAGCGTTCATACACTTATGATTTTCATTGAAATATGGCTCTATACATTAATTAAAAGTGAACTTTCTGAATGAGATTTTAATAATAAGATCTGTAATCTATTCATAACAAAATTGCAAGAAATATGTTTAAAATACAGTGAAACTTTATTTTTAAGAAATTAATAATCAAAAAATGACAAACATTTTATCTCACAAAAGTCTTCGTACACTTAAAAATATCTTGACATATTAGTAAATATTTTTCGTTAATAATCATTTTTCGTTAAATTAATATTTAGTAGGATATCTTTTAGCATCCACAACAGCTTTTAAATGTCTGGGAATAGATTTTACTAATTTTTTTTTTGTAATTTCTGTATCCAATGTTCATCCATTCTTCCATCATGACTGTTTAGAGTTCGTTTTTAGTTTTGATGTGTGTTTCGTACTCTAATCTTCAGTTCTTTGCAAATGTGTTCTATGGGGTTTAAATCTGGTGTTTTCAAAATCTGTGGACAATTATAGAGATACCACAGGCGAACGTTGAGAGCCGTATGCTCAGGATCGTTATCATGATTAAAAATAAAGTTGTTTCCAATACCCAAATTTTGGGTTGATAACTTTCAAGCATCTCTGAAAATATTTAAATAAAGAGAATGATTCATTATGCTATCAATAAATACCAAATTACCTAGTTCTGATGTGCCATGCCCCCCCCCCCCCCGCACAAGAACACCTCCACCACCATGCTTAACTGTTCCAACTAAGTTCTTAGAATGAAGTTCCTCATTTTTCCTTCTCCATACAGTTCTTCGACCATCGGAACCCAAAATGTTAAATTTGCTTTCATCAGCAAATAGGACATTATTCCAGTATTCTCACTAACTAAAAATGTTTTATGGGCAGAACCCCCATGTAATCCAGCTTCTCTGAGAACTCGTTGAACAGTTTCAGGTGAAATTGAAGTAGAAAACGTTGCATTAAATT